AGGAATAGGGAATCCTCCTCTGGCTAATTTGATGGTCGGCTGAAAGAGGTCGGCCCACGGCAACTTCCCATAAAGCCGGTGTGCCGCTTCATAACCTCGAATTTCCCCAGGAACCCCAATCCATCTGCTATCTGGTTAGACAGATAATGGGTAGTCAGGGCTGGAAAGTCCCACATACATTTGGTCGTGTTTTGAGTAAACTGTAAGGTCCTGACCTTTAATGGTCTGAGATGACATTTGTTATAATTTGGTGCTTTGTAAATAATCTATTCTATTCTGCTCCATTTCAGAGGGAAACACTGTAATTTTTAAATGTGTGTCTGTTTGTAACTGATTGTGTTAGAGATAACATTTTGCATCCTACACTTACTTTTAGTTTATTTCACTACATTTACATATTTACACTATTTCTGGCTTAAAGAAGCATTTAGCATCTTATACTTACTTTTCTTACTGTTTATGCAGCCTGTGTGCAGGAGTGTAGCACAGAACTCTGGACCCTTTAAATAAATGGTGTCTGGAGCCCCCTTTCTTTTCTTGATCCATTTACCTCACACATATTTTAATTTCTATTTTCTTTATTTATTTATTTTATGTCCGCCACAAGTGAACTGCTATAATAAATACTCCTCGTATTGCTGTCCATCCCATAGGTCAAAGTCAACACACTATAGACAATCAGGAAGTAATGCAGGAAGGTCTTTTGTACTCTGCTGACAGCAACATAAGGGACAGGGATATGTGCATCCACAGCAGCCTGTGTCTCTGGCCTCACAAGATCTCACAACATTTCCAGCTTCACCTCCACAGACAGATAATCTGCCACAGAACGAGTGGAGATTAGCCAAATTAGAAACAATGACTGATAAAGATGGACTTGTGAGGAAAGTTAAGATTTGTCCTGGGGACCAGAAAATGGGAAAGATGGACAGCATTCTGCCAAGCTGTCTACACAAATCAGAAAGTTCCCCAACCAGAAGTCCTGGATCAACGGTCAGGTACGACACATGCTGATCTGAATGCTCTCTTGCATTCAGATCAGGCAATGAGATGGAGTACAAAGCTGTGAAGTACACACTGAGGAAAGCCATTACAGCAGCTAAGAGGCAGTACTTCTATTCTTCTGCTGACCCCAGGCGGATGTGGCAAGGCACATCACAGAATATAGTGCCACCACCAACACCATCAGCTCCACAGGTGGTCTGCTGGAGGATCTCAACCCGCTTTACACCTGCTTTGAGACCCCCCAGACCTCCCAGATCCTCCACACCTCCCATATCTCCCAGAACCTCTAGACCTCCAAGACCTTCCAGAACCCCCAGATTACCTGACCCTCTCCCCCGCCAGCGGTCTCAATAGACCAAGTGCACAAGGTGCTGAGGAAGATCAACCACCGCAAGGCAGCAGGACCAGACAACATCCCTGGACGGGCCCTTAGAGCATGTGCTAACGAGCTGGCTGATGTTCTCACCTCCATCTTTAACCTTTCCCTCAGTCGGAGCATAGTTCCCACATGCTTCAAGACCACAACTATCATCCCTCTCCCCAAGAAAAGCCCAGCCACCTGCCTAAATGACTACAGACCAGTTGCACTCACTCCAATCATTGCAAAGTGTTTTGAGAGAGTGGTGCTGGCCTACATTAAATGGTAAATGGTCTGTATTTGTATAGCGCTTTTCTAGTCCCTAAGGACCCCAAAGCGCTT